CCGGTCAGACCACGGAAAGGGCGATCCCCTCCCACCATCACCACGGCACAGACCCCCCCAGCCCCAGCCAGCCAGGGAACAGGAGCATCTCCAGAGCCTGGCTTGGAGGCATCAAACCCACAGCCCTCCAACAGCTTCTGGCTCCACATTTCCCGCTGCTGCTTTCTCCAGCTGGGAGGCTTTGCAGGTTCATAAAGTGCTTTTCTGTCCGGCTTAGGAGATAAGTTTTGCTTTTACCTCCCAGCCACAAGCAGCTCCCAGGGCTTTACCCACTCTGGTCTTAAAACTCTTCGGGGACTGAGTCTGGGAAACCTGTCCCGCTGCCTCAGTGTCCCCAGGAGGGAATAAAAGATGATCAGAGCAACCCCACAGCCTTACCTGCTCTTAGGCACAAGGTTTCATTGCTTTTCACGAAACAGGGACTCAGCAGAGCTCGCACAAGTGCACGATAAGGTTATCAGCCCACAGCACCTGCCCCAGCAAAAGTGCGCTTCCAGTACATCACCCCACCACAGAGCCCTCGGCAGGCAGGGCTGCCAGCCCTGACTAACCCAGCAGTCTCGCAAAGCACGGGGAGAAACCAGGCTGGGAGCCCTGGGCGAGAGGCAATGGCATCCAGGAGTAGTTTTCACCCACAGTAAACATCCCAAGAAAGCAACGTTGCCTCAAGGCAGAGGAATTACCAGGCACAGGAATCCCCGCATCAGCTAAAAGCCTCTTCCTTCCCCACGATCACGTCTTGGAGAAAAAGCTCTGGGGGAAACATCAAGCTTTGAACTTTCCCTTCTTCCATCCCCAACTTGTTTTTCTCCTGAAGCGATCCCAAGGAAGGAGCTGGACCCTACAGCAGAGGACAGGGCCCCCCACCGCACTCCTGCCCATCACTGGACATCTCTCCAGATACACAGCAAGGGAGGCTCTTGACCAAGAGTCTTAAGGACCAGGGACAAAAGAGGTGCCAGGCAGACACTCTGCTCTACGGGCACAGATCTGACGAACGCGGGGGTTTCCCCCCCCCAGACTTCCCCGTGGGTGGAAT